CACACACACACACACACACACATACACACATGCCTATTCTCTCTCCCTCCTGGTGTTTCACACAACATATGATGATGATTAAAAATAAACAGGGAGACATCTGCAAGTTGCGGTGATGCGTAGTCATAAAATTTAGTTGCACTGTTTCTAAAAATAGGCACCGAATGTGACCAAATGGTCGCAGTTTGGAGCCCTGTTACTGCACATCACAGGTTAAGGAACTAATACTAGCTACAGTATCCGAGGGCCTGGTGTCTACAGCATTACTCTCATCAAAGGAGGATCCTGTATAATCTGAACCCTCAACATCATCTACCTTGTGCAAATGTGCTTTTTCTGTATTAAACTGCAAAGGAAGAACTGCAGGGTTATACAGGATATACAGAAACCCTGTCTGCTGTGCTTAGAGGTGGTGAAAACATTTAACCCTCTAATGTCATCTGGCTCTAGTGAAAACAACAAACAACAAAGAGTTAGGGTTAAAGAATTCAGTCTAACAATAGTCTAGCAATGTGTGTGGAAGACAGATGAACCTGTTAAGAAACATGCCAAACACATTCGCTTAGCAGGATTGCAAGACACACACAGAGCGTGGAAAATATGACATGTCAATCTGTCAAGAGGCACCGGAAATGGCAGTCTAGGATACAAGAGGAGCAGAGAAAATGAGTCTGGCAGCCACGGCAACCATGGACATTGCTTTATTAACTTAATTGCTTTAGTCAATTAACACTGACTTTATTAATGATCAAGTGGTTTCATTTCTAAAATAAATGCTGCGTGCACACGCACACCTGTATTGCTCCCATTGTGGAGACCAAAGCCTGTATATACACGCACACTTGGCCTTCCTTGTGGGGACCACTCCCCAACTGATAAATCATCTAATTTTACAGTGACAATTTGGTTTAATGTTAGGGTTAATGAGAGTCTCCAGCAAATTAATCTAAGTCAATGTTATATCCCTACGATTAATTAAAACAAACCCGCATATGTGTGTGTGGGGCCTGGTCTTACTCATGTTGTGGGGACTTGCCATCTTTATAGGGACAAGTTCCCAAAATGTAATTCATTATACAGTATTTTAGAATGACAACTTCGTTTAATGTTAGGGTGAGGCTAGGGTCTCCAGGAAATGAATGCCAAGGAAATGTCAATGCAAAGTCTGACAGGTAATAAGAATAAATCTATATGTATGTGTGTGTGTGTGTGTGTTACCTGTCCAGAGAAGGGGGGTCGGTTGCCGGACCATGCCACCTGCCCTGGATTGAGCTGTCTGGAGATCTGAGCTAGATTCTGATTGGATGAGCCCGATGGCTGGATGTCATTCACACCAGGGACGTGGATCACAGAGGAACTGTGTGCACAAACATGCACACACACACCAAGAAAAAGAAAATAGTGAAATATGAAGCTCAGTAACACTTAAATTTTTTTCAGACAGACACAGAGCTATCACAGCAGAGGCCTCAGTGAGTGTTAATCTGCTGAGCATTAACACACACTGACATATACAGTACCTGAAGCTCTTTCCAGAGTGTCCCTGCTGAAAGGGAGAGCTCTGGGAGTAGAGCTGCTGTCCTCCAGCTGTAGAAGTGGGAACCATCATCTTCTTATCTCCCGCTACACACACAAAAACACAGGGTCAACATTACAGAAATAACAGAGAGGAGAGACAGTAGGTAAGAAATACAAAGGTAAACCAAACTGTCAAGACACATGCATGAGGTGTATATGCTGGTGTTTGTTTCTGTGCACGTGTGTATGTCATACAGCCAGAGATGCTGGTGTACATCTCAGCAAAACGTGGGTCTCTCTCCTGGGAGAACAGGGCTTCTGTCTTGTCAATGTTCTTCCCAGCCTCGTGAACTCCACTGCTGACACTGGCCACGGGCACCTGAGGGTTGTGGTGAATATGGGGAAAGGTGAGAGGTGGGGGGCATACACACTGACATGTGGGATCCAAATATTCTATTCATATATTTTTCATGTGAATTAGCAGAGTCAGTGATTGGCTCAGCTTTGTTGAACTTCACTGAAAGGACAGTTCCCATTGTTCCAACCTGTAGCCTGAGAAATCTTTGCCAATGAGAACGTCTTACCTCAGACGCTTGACAAATACCAACTGTGTGGCTTTCTTGTAGAATATCTATGTGTTAATAAAATAAATAGCACAACGTCATGTGAAAGCACAAAGAAAGTGTCATTGTTTTACCTGAACTGCTGCTATACATTAATACGTGGCAGCTCAGTATACAATGAAAGGTTTCTTATGAATACAAGGTCACACACAAAGGTGTACAGTACATCACCTTCAAATTTTGTAGATGATTTAGTAGTTACTGTATATTCACTTGTTTCATTTATCTGGAGGCCTCTTCCTAAGCAGCTACGTGAGCTCCTGAAGTGGTTCTAAAGCAGAGGGTTACCTGGGAAAGATCGTAGGCAGTCAGTCCGTCTCTCTGGTGAACCTCCAGCTCTGCTTGCTGCTGCTGCTGTAGCTGCCTACAAAACACAGTTGGGCACCATCAGGATCTTGGAATACAAACTGACATACTGAATGTTAATGAGTTGAAGCTAGCTTGATTTTAAATTCAAAATAATAAGATAAGTGACATGATAAATAAGCATTTAATTTAATGATATCAATGTACTATACACTAAACCGTATTTGCTGCAACTGGCGGCCCAGGATTGTGTGTGCAATACATATAGCCCAGGCCCATATTAACACCATACACTGATTGACAAAAACAGCTTCATTCCATTAGGGGGCAGTAGGTTGTTATATTTCAATCGTGACAAGGGGTTAACAGATTAAACCACCATAACGTGAAGGCCATATGAAAATATGGACTATTTTGTGACAAACTCAAAGCAGCGGGATAAAGAAAGATCTACAGCACAAGTGGAATTATATGAAACCAACGACAAGAATGGAGATGAAGATAATGAACAAACAAATGACTGTGGGGGAGAACAGGTTAACCAAAGCAGAAAGGTCTGTGTCATTGAAAATGAACACAAAGTTTCAGGACAAATGAGTTTTTCTTCACTGACAACTCAAACCTGCTGTGCTTACTATTGCCAGAAGTTTTAAAACAATGTAATTTGGAGGGGCTTTTCAGAACAATGCATGCCAGTGTCAACAATAAAGTTCCATCTGACAACAACCTGAGAAAGAATAATGTTGAACAACTCACTGCTCTAATTAAGGGCAACAAAAAGTGGCTACCGCTGAGAGAATAACAGAAGCCACATATGAAACTGCATGGATTAGGTCTTCTCAGACACAGATATAGTGAAGGAGTGTCTTTTGTCCTCTGCAGAAATTATGTAAGCTGACTTCACAAACAAAGAGGTTAATCCAAAACAAATAAAGGGGCTGCAAATGTCTGACACAACTAGAACAATAAGGGTTAAAGAAATTGTAAGATATTTGTCCACTGCTAAATGAGTATCTGACCTCTGCTCTGCATTTCAGCTTGACATTCAATGAGAGCACTGCCAGTGTGCAATTGTGCACATGGGTCCAGTTCCCTGGAGATTGCTCTTTTTAAAAGGAAATTTGTGTAAACTGACAAAGAAAGGCAGTTTACATCTCAAAGCTGTTTTGATGACAAAAACCTAAACTGGTCAAAACATGCATCTGTGTGCTCCAATGGTGCACCTAATATGTGCGGGAAAGTGAAAGTACTTGTTGGGCTGCTGAGGAAAAGGAAGCATATCTCTAATTTTGCAACCTTCCACTGTATTATTCATCAAGAAGTGCTTCTCACAAACCTGAAGATGATCTCAAGTAACTGTGCCAGTGACTGGTTAAATGTCCGCGTCTTCACGCCTCAAGCATTAGCATTACCAGCACCGTAGCATACAAAGTCAGCTGACTGCTGACTTTGTATGCTCCTGTGCCCGTGAATCTACATTTTCCACCACGAACATTGTGAAATGAAAACACAGGAACAAACTGACCAATGCATATCTGTCTGTCTTACATGGATTGCTATGACAAAGTACAAGTGCTGCATAAAGAGTCAAGCAGCAACAGACATACTTTCAAAAGTCAAACTATGAGTTAAGTCAAACAATGGGAGACTTGTTTGAAGTCATGTAGTGCATTTTACTCAAAGAACACTGAGAAAAAAACAATGGAACCTTCACAAGTTTACTGTATATTTTGTTATACACATTTTTGTATTGCATATTGTATGTTGAAATATATGATGAAATTTTAGAAACATGCTATTGGTATGTATGGTTTCAAATATCAGTTTATTGGGCATTACTGCTTATTAAAATGCTACAGAGACAGGTCACGTCTTTTCATGTGGCCCATCTGATAATGGAGATCTGTCACAAACTGGTGACTACCACTGCAGTAGATGGTAGCAGATGGTTTCTTGGAGCAGAAGACATTGAAAACCCAGAAGAAGCCACAAGTAAAGGGAGAAGAGTATGTGTATATGAATATCTGATTAAAACCCCACATTCATATTGGACAGTCAAATTCCTACAGTCAGTAGTAGTTGTCTTAGTAATTATTACTAAGTAGTATTCATTATTATTTATAGTTTTAGGTAGCTTTCAAATGCATTTATCCAGAGTAACTTTCAAACCAATACTTTGGTTAGAAAAATGCCTAGGTAGTTAGACTTTTAGTTTTGGTCCAGTTTGCACTCCGAGTGCTATAAACAAAAGTGGAATATGGAATGATGGGTAACTCATGTACTGGGCAGCGCTGGGGACGTCATACTGCATCACTGACACTAAACCAAACTTTACTGAGCCCTCTCTGATGTCACAGAGAGCTCTCTATGGAATAAGTGATTATGAGCACTATCAGCTGAGGCTGCCACTAAACCTCCTATGAACTGAATAATGGCAAACAAGTACAATAGGACCAGGGCAAAAAACATCTGATGTGATCAAAACCTCCGCAACAGCTAGTAGATGCGCCTTGCAAGACTTTTTTCGGCCAATTTAATAGTAAATTATCTTTTGAATTCATGCTAAAATTGTATTGCATCACAGAATGCTGCTTTGCTTAATCGCCTTAAGTTCACTTACTATACACTGATAAGCATTAAAAGTAACAACTGTGCCAGCAACAAGAAGATAACTGATAATTCATGGCATAACGACAAATATTCATTATATTCTAACTTGCTTCATGATGTGTGATATTTTGTAGCTGTTCATAGTCCTCTCTTTACATGCACCTACCGTTATTTTGAACTTGCTATTAAACAAAGTAGGTATTAAGGTATCACCACAGAAATTAGATACTTCTGACCTTAAATTAAAATAAATTAAGATAAATGTTTTTACCAAGTCATGAAACTGATTTTGTTGCCACAATGTGTCTGAAATTTGCGATTGAGTTTATTTCTTTAAATTTTCTTATGATGAAATTAAAGCAGCAGCTAACAACATTTTCATAAATAATTAATGTATTTAGTGGAAAATGCCCAACAAATGTTTGGCATTTTTGTGTGATTACTGACACAATGAATGACAATTAATCAATTACCTTAACTGTTGCTGATTGACTAATATTAATCAGGATAATAATTTTAGTTTTAGTCTAAAAATCTTCTGAATGCACCAACAACCATGATATTTTATATTGCCAATATAGCTCATCCCTTTCCAAGTTACAATAACTAAATTTTCCTGTAATATTCAGACATGTTTGTCATTCCTGATGCAGCGATGTTGCCCACTGCCTTGTGTTTATACTTGTATTACAGAGCTGAGCTATGGGGCCCCAACTCAAAGGTCTGGATAGCTTCAATATTATTAATGACCCTGCTGATAAGGCAGCAGAATGTTGATACTGAGAACATAGCAAGATGAAGAATGTTAGTCACTGACATCTCAGGTTAAAAAACATCCAAGGGGGTGAATTCTTTTTACAGGCACTGCATTTGTAAAATCTGACATTTGCTGCAGTAAAATTTCACAAACCACAGTATGTTTGTCTTCTCTCATAAACAGTGCTGTAAGATTTGAGTCTTATAGACTCTAGTTACTTTATCAGTTTTAGTTACCTCTCATGCCTTTAGTTCCCTTTAGTTACCTTTCATAACTTTATCTTACCTGATTACAGCTGTATTGATTATTGTGCATTACTGAGCCCTGGTTATTTTCTAACACAGTCATTCTCCTTGCTTATATGTCTTACAATTTGAATGAGGTGATACGTCAGCTTATTGTCTCTCACACAGACACACAGACACACACACACAGACACACACACACACACACACCTAGACAAAGAGGCTCCGGTTTACATTAAATGGAGAATAGTGCAAGACTTGATTCTTATAGGCCCTAGTTACTTTATAATCTTTAGTTACTTTTCTGTTCATCATTGTCTTTCAGGTACTTTTCATATGTTTACCTTCCTTGCTTACACATGGTAAAACTGTACTGATGATTGACCAGAATTACTGAGCCTTCATTACTTTAATACATTTAATTCCATTTGTGCTGATGGGAGTCAGGTGATACTGAAGTATAAACTGATCACTTTAACTTCTGTATACACTCAGGGTCTGCACGCAGGTCCTGCTTTGTTATATAATGGGATTACACAGATGGGGGGTCTGCGGCACAGAAAACCCATTGTTTGGTTGCCGCCTAGAAAGTCACATGACAACACTTACACACCTGGTTTCGCGAGATCTTTGTTTGGGGCGGACCCAGCCCAAAATGCATAAATGTATTGTGAAATCATGACTCGGGGGTCAGTGGATGGAACTCCTGCGGGAGAGCTGTCTCTCTGATCCCAGCACTGTAAGGCCTACCTGTGATCAAACATGCAGTAAACTTTCCGCTGATTTTATACAGTCCTCTCCTGTCGTCACTTCTCGTGCTTCCAACAAAAGAATTGGGTTAATTTCTAACAAAGAGGTTAGAATCTAACAGTGCAAATGTTGAAATCAGTTTAAACCAGTGGTGTGTTCACAAACACCCACTGCTTTTCTTGGCACTGGTTCCCTGCTACCTTATTTTGTGTATTAATACCGTTAACTATATGCTTTGTCTTGACTGAAATGCAACCAGTAGAACTTAATGTGTCTACAGTGTAACCTCAATCAAAACCGACGACAGCTGAAACATCTCTAGCTGGCGGCCTGAAGATGTAAACGCTATTGCTGCCATAGCTGCTGTGTATCAGTAAATTTGGTACTAGGTTGTTTTAAATGGTGCGTGTGTGTGTGAAGAACCTACTTGACATTGGTGTTGGTGCAGATGATGTACTCTATCTCATCAGAGTATGGGTTCTGGAAGGTGAAGCTGCTGGTTCGTATTAGCATCCACTCCCTGTTCTTCATTCGGAAACGATACATCACCGACAGGACCTGGCCCTTCAATTTAACCACCTGCAGAGGAAGGAGAGTCACCGTCATCATGTTATCAAATGTACATGAAAACGGTTTAGAAGAGCAGTCTTCACTTAACCAAAAACAGAAGGGGGCTCATTTATTTCAACAAAACCAGTTTGACTGGGTGGAGGATGAATTTAATGAGTGGAATTAGTAGTTAAATATCCATTTTAGTTGTACTAGTTTCCAGTGAGCTGTCATATAGTCATTTCTGCCTTTCATTTTCTTCTGTGTACTCTGTGCAGCAGGCCACTCCTTATCTTCTTCCACTCAGCCAGTCACACACATTGCACTTCGTCGCAGGGATCTGTTAGGTATTTTAAGTCAGATAGATATTGGATAGATACTTTATGTATTAGAAATGTTTAGTGGAGATAGGATATCTAGTTAGACTGTTAAATGCTTAGGCCTGCTTATGAGTTTCTACAGGGTACATCTAGTCAAGGATACCAGAGAGAAGAGTTGATAACTGTCAGCAGACAGGGTGTTTAATATTATTATTACGACGTGTATAACTGTAGCCTTAGCCATAACATGCTCTTATATTTAAGCCACAGACTAGAGGTCGTGAGAATGTTTTTAGTTACACACCACTTAACCAACAGACATACACATTCACACATTGATTTGCTTCATGTTTTGACTACTGTTAGGGCCAGCTGCAGAGCTGGTAACAGAGACGTCCCGGTTGACGTTTCTGTGTAGTATGGGGCTAGCCCAACCGAGGTGATAAAATGTATAGGCCTGGTGGGCTCAGGGTCTTCCATCTTACATCTGCCTGCGTGCATGGTGGAGGTGCAAGATACTTGAGCGTGTAATGTTAATTTTAACTGTGATCCTTTGAATAAATCAGCACTGTTTTGAAGTTACTTGGACTGCCTCGTCTCTCAGTGTTAGCAATGGTAACAAGAACCATATCCTACAGATCTAAAATGACTGAGGAAGGCCAAAGCAGCTAATCACACAAATGAAGACTTTTCAGATGACAAAGACCACTGCTTGGACAGGGTGGGCAAGGAGGGAGAGGAAACAAAACTGCTCCTCTAGTAAAAATGTACCTATGAGAAAAAACTGGAAAAAACCTTAGAAAAAATCAACTGGACTTAGATTTCTAGGTCGAAGACGTTTCACCTCTCATCCAAGAGGCTTCATCAGTTCTGACTGACTGGTGTTGAGCCGGAGATATTTATCCCCCTCGGTGGTGTTTCAGTCCTTTGAAGGCCAACAATGTCCCTTAACGACTGAGTCGTTGCAGCCTGGTATCGGTGAGAGTCGTTACCTGTCTTTGAAACCTCCCCTGTCGACCTGTTTATCAGAGAAGTTAAAAAGGATATTTCGCAACCACAATATCCCAGTTAACTTTAAACCAGGGAACACCCTGCGGCAGAGACTGGTCCACCCAAAGGACAAAACACCCAGACATAAACAGAGTGATGTGGTGTATGCCATTAAGTGTAGTCAGGAATGTAACAACTTGTACATTGGTGAAACTAAGCAGCCGCTTCACAAACGCATGGCCCAACACAGGAGGGCC